TAATTACACAGATAACAAGTACAAGGAAGAAGAAAATGTTTTTAAATTGATTGTGGTAATGATTTCAGAACTCTTCTTGATATGATTGAACTAATGAATTTTATGATATGTGAATGAAGTGCCAAAGCAAATGTTACCATGTTAATAGATAACTAAATAAATAAATAAGAAGTCCTGGTAGCATAATGGTTACACATTGGGCTGTGATCCTCAAGGTTCACAGTTCAAAATCACCAGCCACTCAACAGAAAAAGACAGGGCTTTCCACTCCTATAAACAGTCTGGAAAACTCACAGGGACAGTTCTACCCTGTATTATGAGGGTTGCAATGAGTCCCCAACTGACTCTATGGCAGTAAATTATTTTATACCCCCCCCCAAAAAAATGTTTCAATGTAAACAGTTTGGGCAGTAGATATCATATAGAAAACTTAAAATTTCAATGGTTGGAAAGAAGTAACTCTTCACTCACATTAAACACACATGGTGTACATTATATGTATGTAGGCATGCATGCAGTCATGAGCTTTTTAGCTGCCCATCTTTTGCTTCTCATGGGTCTGACCTTGCATATAATTATATAATCTTATATATATTCTATCATACCTAGAATATAGGCCTCAGATTCAAGTCATAGTATTCTAAGTTCAACATGATAAATGTTGGCAACACTTCTTGAGACAAAAACCTCTAGAAATTAAAGATAATATTTCATATACAATCTAGCTTACAGAAATTGCTATTCTGTCTGAATACTGTTCAGAAAAATATTAGATAAAAGCTGCATGTGATAAGTCTTTAAGGGAAACATTCTTTAAAAAAGATTTTTAGTTTAAAAGAATTCAGGACCAGTGATTTTAGACAAAATAACAAACTGCAAAAAATGGTCTCATTTATTTCTCACAACAATGAAATTCTAGAATCAACCCAATTTTATAAATAGGAAAACTAAAGTTAAGAAAGATAACTGAGTCAAATAGAAGAATTCAAACCCTTTTTATCCAACTCATCAGCACATGCTCAGATATGGCACTACCACACTATCTCAGTCTCTTGAGTGTTCTTCAATTGAGCCAGGATATTTTAGACACAAGCATAGTTGGAGCAAATCCAGTCACAGTCTGTGCCCAAATTCCTTGATTCATCTCCATTTTATATTTCTCACCTTCTCTAACTCTAATCAAAGAGTTTCTGGGCAGTAAAACGGTAAATGCAATTGGCTGCTGATGAAAAGTTTAGAGGTTACAGTCCACCCAGAGGTGGCTCAAAAGAAAGTTCTGGTGATCAACGTATGAAAGAACAGCTATTGTAAACCCTATGAAACATAATTCTACACTGCCACACATGGAGTCACCTGAGTAGGAATCTGTTCTAGAGAAACTGGTTTGGTTTTGGTTTTTAAATCGAATCCATCTCTCATCCTTATTGTGTATTTATTAGACATATTAGATATCTTATTGTTGTTGTTGCTGTATTTTTTTTAATTAATCAATTTATTGGGGCTCATACAATTTATCACAATACATAGATCAATTGTGTAAAGCACATCTATACATTTGTTGCCCTCATCATTCCCAAAATTCTTTTGCCTCCT